CTGCGCTTTGAATGAAGGATGTTTGGCGTCTCGCTGTCAAAGGCATATATTTTGTGCATGCCTCCTGCGTCCCTGATGCGCTTTTTAGATCACAAAAAAATTGCGAGAAGCGATAAATCAAAACAGCTAGGTCCATTTTTAAAGTATATCCATCGGTCAGCAGCGCTGTTTCTGAAACCCCACTCTGGCTGCATAGCCAGATATGAATAAAGAAGACAGCTAAGTGCTATTTTGTTTTGAAATTTGCTGCGCACTGATAGATTTCTTCTTTTATGGTTTTTTTCTTGTTTTTTTGTTTATTGACGATACGAAACCACGTAACACCCCGCAGTTACCACAACCATGTTTTATTAGTGGTTAATGGCACTCGGCCATATATCTTTTCCCGCCCTTTGTTCAGTGGGCTTTGGGCACTCGACGCACGGCACCAAGGCAGAGCCAGTCAGCTGGTAAACCGCATCCTTTTCATGTGGGATCGCGGTTTATCTGCATGGGAAACCCAACTGGTCCCCGCATCTTTTTACACTACGCCAGCGAGCGCCAACCTCTGGCTGCTCGGCTGGTCTTGACAGGGCTTCACATTCCATTGCAAAAGGTCTGCAGCCCGGCGAGGCGACGATGGAGCCCATCAATTGCTTCACGACCGTTCGATCTTTATTTGGTGTGCATGGCCACTTCGCATCGCATGCCAGCTGAATGTTTTCGTTGCAATTCAAGCCCACTGAGCCAGACGCAGCTTTCATTCCGGCATGGCTGTCTGTGATTTTAGCCGGGCGAATCGCTCTCACCATGGCGGCGACCGGCGCCCGACTGCCGGTCGGAGCAAACGGCACCCCAGAACGGGGCACACGGCCGAAGCGATCCGGGGGCTTTCCGACGGATTTGACTCAGAACATGTGCGGCGACTCTACGGGGTGAGTCAGGACGTATGTGGCCACGTGAGTCGCGCTTGCGCTGGGCGAATGGCTTCGAACTGGGGACGCGGTGTTTCCTTTTTTTACTCGGAATGGCGGCGTGGAGGTACAAATGAAGATGTCTTCGTGAAGATGAAGAAGGTGTTTGTCTGGTACGGCCCGAGTCGACTGTTACAGGCAGTAGTGTGGGCTTTCTTTACATATATATATATATATATACATAGAGAGAGAGAGAGAGAAGATAGAGGAGAAGGAGAGAGAGAGAGGAGAGAGAGAGAGAGAGAGAGAGAGAGAGAGAGAGAGAGAGAGAGAGAAGAGAGAGAAGAGGAGAGAGAGAGA